AGCAGATGGAAGACCTCTCTCTCTCTCTCTCTCTCTCTCTGCTTCTGCCTCTCTATGACTCTGCCTTTCAAATAAATAATAAATAAAATCTTTAAAAAATACTCCCTTTTATTATAAAAAGATAGACATCTACAAATAAAATAATAATAATAAGATACAGGAATATGGCTAAAATCATGTTTTTTATTCTGGAATGAAACTTAGAAATTGTCTGATTCCTACTGAGATTGATTTTTTAAAGATTTATTTATTTATTTGAGAGGCAGAGTTACAGAGAGAGAAGGAGAGACAGAAAGAGAGATTGTTCACTTTGCAAATAGCCACAATGGCTGGAGCTGGGCTGATTTGAAGCCAGGAGCCAGGAGCTTCTTCCAGGTCTCCCACGTGGGTGCAGGGGCCCAAGGATTTGGGCCATCTTCCACTGCTTTCCCAGGCCATTATCAGGGAGCTGGATCAGAAGTGGAGCAGTCAGGATTCAAACCAGTACCCATATTGCCTAACCTACTACACCATGGCACCAACCTCCTGAGGCTGATTTTTAGATGATCCGGTGGTATGGGTGGCAGGGGTTTAGTTGGAATGAGATTGACCATATGTTAATAATTGTTGAAGTTAAGTGAAGGACACATAAAAATCTTTTATTATTTGCTCTCTATTTTTGAATATTTCAATAACAAAAGAATGTTTAAAAACAATGGGAGGATCATATAAGCCTAAACATTTATGGAAGAATTTCTAAATGACGGTGTAAGAATTCTACCACCCTGAGATTAAAGACTCAAAACTTAAAATGATATATTGAGTAGAGAATATTATCAAGTTGGGACTTAAAAAATAAATAGGTGTATTTTCTTTTGCTTTGATGACATCTAGAAAGATATCTGTTATTTTTCTGGGTTCTGAAATATCACTTCATAGTTTAATAAAATAATTTTTCATCATCTAGAAAAGTTCATTAAGAATTTGTCCCCTAAACTGCATGTAATTGAAGCTTCACTAATTTATCAATATTGGAGGAAAAAATATTTTATCAAAAGGTCTTACATTTTTTTCTTGAATATGCTTTGTCTTCCCTGAATTCTTAATGCACAGGTAAAACTCTTGGTAAATAAGTAATCATTCCCTAAAGCCATATAATTTAAAATGCATTTATGAAGGGTTATGGGTCATCATTTATGGTAATGGAGTGTGAAAAAACAAATTAATTCAAGTATGAAGGAAAAAAATCTAGTTTCAGGCAGCAATCATAAAGCTTCCAGTCTTTGACACTTTAGTCCCAAGAACATGGACTAGCCAGGAGTCTGCAAGCTTTCAAGTCCCCACACACCTTTGACCCAAAGTCATGTTCAGTACTTTCATGATGTGTTGAGTTAATAATTGCTATTCTGGCTTACAAAAGAGGCATTTATTAAAGTGTGAGAGCGAAATTGACTTTGTCATGTCAGAATAGGAAGATGACAAACAGAAAAATGATTTTTACTTTAGAGTAAAAAATTATCTTGAGATAAGACATTCAGAAAACCCACTGGATTTACCCTCTTTAGTGGCATCCAAAAAAGGTTAAGGAGGATATGCCGTGAGTTAATGGCATAGCTAAAATTAGATTTCAAGTCTCCTAGTTTATATAGAACAGGAGTTTTTGGTGATTAAGCAAAGGAAATGGCTTCAGTACTTGTAAATTTACTATCAGGTCTTCTTAGTCAACTAAAGAAGTTTACATTCAAGGATGGTTTTCCCCTCTGTGGTATAAATATATTCAAATTTTTATACTGTAGCAGGTTTAATATATTTATCTAAGAGAGAATTGAGCACCTTACTTGACTATAATTTTGATAATTTAGAAAATGATTGTTTTTTTAATTTCCATATGTGGTGATCTCCATGCCATGCCTTCATAGAACATTGTTTTTGCTTCAAATTGTCAAATTCTAGTGATAAAGAACCATTAGACCCTGACTAGGAAGGGTATCCATTACAAACAAATGTTCACTGAAGGAGAAATCTCAAATATCCATCTTATCCTTTAGTCTACTTTGTAAGTTTTATTGTTTGTTTGTTTTGGTGCAGTCATTGGTATTATTAGTCTAGATCTAAGAGTCACAGTCACCACAGGACTTTATCAAGAAGCAGCAATTTTCTGTTCTAAATCTCAAGTTCAGGTTTAATCAGGAAATATGGGTTTTATTCCCAAGACTGCCTTTTAAAAGGCAAGTGACTAAAGCTGAGTCTCATGGGATTCCCCAATTAATCCAGCTGAGGAATTAGCCCTCCCCCCCCCCCCCCCCAAGTGAGTAGCTGCTGGTGATCAAGCTATGGGACCTTTATTAACCAGAATTTTGATAATTTCTAAAAGTATTTTTCAAACTAAGTCGAATAAATTAATCTCCTTACCAAACAGCTTCATCCACATCTATGAACATATTTAACACATTTCCTCAACTGTCTGCCCTCATTCATTATAAGTTTTAGTTATGAAAAATCAAGCTACATTTGACACACTCATTTTCCTACTGTGTATATAATTCTTATTGTGGAAAAATAGAACTTTTAATTGATTAGAATAGTACTCAAATGTTTCATTCATCTGAAATCAAATGTACTGTATTGATCTGTGCTAGCCAATATGGAAGCCATCAATCTCATGTAGTTCCCAGGCACTTAAGATGTGACTAGTTCAAATTGAGATGTACCATAAGGAGAAAGTACACACTGAATTTCAAAGATTTAGTATTTTTTTAAAAAGTGAAATCTCTCACTAATATTTTATACTGATTATCTATTTGAAATGACACTTCATATGGACTCACTCTGTTAAGTAAAATATGTAGTTAAAACATTTTTTGATTTCATTCACTTCTGCAAGGTGGGATGACAATACTGCTAATAGATATTTACCTCCCAAATATTAGAAACATGATATTATGTAAGGACTAAAAATATTTTTAAATTAAAAGATTTATATCTAAACCAAAGTTATTTCACAAACCTCATTTTAATTTGTAAAAAGTAGCTATCAGAAAATTTGAATTACATACATGACTTACATTGCCAGTTTGTGCCCTAACAGTTCAGCCATATTTATTTGTACTTTGTTTTAAAATATCTTGCATTGGCATGAATACAGGATTCAGCTTTCAATTATTTATGGAAATAGGAACTGAGGATGCTTATGATTGAGCTATTACTCAGATATTTCAAAACTAAATTTTAACTATTAACTCAGTCTTCTTTGTCATTCACTTTTTTCCTAAAACTGTCAGAAAATAAGATTATGATACTTAGGATTCATTCCCTCCCTCTTCCTCTTTAAATGTGTATGACACAGAGGAAACAATAATAAATGGACTGCCTCATAGAGAAATGATAAAAACAAAGAAGCGAAAATGGATGAGAGACTAGGACACCTGTTCCTAAGTGGTGGAGACCACAGACCTTGAAGTCCACTCTGTAGTCTCAATTTTGTTTATCAATGACCTACTATATGGCAGGCCATTGGTTGATAGTGAAGAGAATTAACTTATATCATGGTGTTTCTCCGATTCAGTTATTATACAATGACTCTTACCATATTGTATTACTTTAGTTATCCAAATGTCACACTAGTATCACAAAGTCTTATGGAAGAAGAAAGACGGAGAAAAGCCATTACTCACACATCAAGGAGGAGAACATACTATAAGAAAGAGATAAGAAGTCAAAGTCATCTGCAGTAAATGGCCCAAAGTAGAGTCAGTTTACACTGGATGTGTTAATGGCAGACCAAATCCCAAAGATACATAAGCCCTTGAATATGTCAAGGACAAGAACCTCAATCATCCTCAAATACAGCCCTTATGCTACTCATAAATATGAAATAGTTATTTCACATCAATCTCACTTTGCAGGGAAACCATGCCCTTGTCCAGGACTTTTTTAGCTGGTTAGCTTACCCTAACCAACTTAGATCACTTAAGTAAGATAAAGTCATTCTGTAATGCTGGTAATTAAGTGCTGGATGTAAGGAACTTTCCCTAACGGTTTCAAAACCCTTACTGGAAAAGTCGCTTTGGAGGAACTCGATACTGTGATCAACTGAGAAAAAAAACAAGCAGGCACCAGATAGGTTAAATTCAATGAGATACATGGAAATTTTTCAAAGTTATATCTAGAATAGAAATTAGAGATTATGACACATTCTCAACTCGAGAGAAGTAAAGATATTTCCACCCCATTGAGCTAAGCACCTATTTTACTGAGAAGGAGAGTCTTTTTTCAAAATGAGACTATAGGGGAGAAGAATATAAAAGTTTTAATCCTTTCTTAGAGTACTTACTTTTTGTTTCTACTCTATTGGTCTTTCTAGTGGTCAACCATGAGACTTCTTACTCTCCATACAATGCAAACACATTCAGCACTTCTTACATAGACTCCGTAGGCATTCTTACAGTCCTAAACAGCCTTTAAGCTTTTATGGAATATTTTTAATTTTTTAAAAAAAAACTTCTATGAGTTATTTCCTTTAATCCAGGTAAAGATCCTTTGAGGTGAGTTGAGAAGTTCTGTTATAATTGTTTTAGATAAATAACGTCAAGCACAGGGCGGTTAGTGCAGAGAAGTCCAGATGCTCTGCGTCACTAAGAAAGGCTATGTTTCTGGCCCCTTAGCGCCTTCATTCACGTTGCCCTGCGGTGCTTCCTTGCCTGCTCCCTTACTTTTACTCCTTTTGTGTCTTCAACCTATCTGAATCTAAGAGTCTCAGTAGTAAAAGTGCCACGTTCCTTCTACCACATCTGCAGCCTTAGCTTTGCTTGTAAATCACTCACACAATGAACCCATCAGCTCCCACGACAAAAAAAAAAAAAAAAAAAAAAAAAAAAAAAAACTAAAATGACCAGAATACGTTGGCATCTCTTTTTTTTAATTTAAGTTTTATATAGTTGTTTGGATCTGTCTTTAAAAGTTTTATGGAACCCTCTGTTTGTTAACCTATGACTGTGTTTTCGCTATCTGTAAAAATGCAGAATGTAGCAGTGACTCCAGGTTCAGCTGACAGGGTTGCTAACGGAGAAGGGATGCCTGGAGAGGAACATGCTGAAAACAAGGAAGAAGACAACAAAGCCGGTGCTGTGAAGTTTGGATGGGTGAAAGGTGTGCTGGTGAGAAAGCTCCTATGTTTATTAATGAAAAACGACCCCTTCAAAGTTCTAGTGGATGAAGTGTTAATAGGGCCTGGGCCCCAGAGTTCCAAAGGTGATGGGATTGGGCTCACTGCCATTGCTCCTGACTTTTCCATGACCCTCTGACCCACAGGTGAGATGCATGCTGAACATCTGGGGAGTCATGCTCTTTATCCGTCTCTCCTGGATTGTTGGAGAAGCTGGAATCGGTAAGCATCAGATCCCCTTCTACATAATTCTTGTGTAAATTATATACCCAGTAAGCAACTTGTTTTCACCATTAGTGCTGATTGCGAGCAGATCACAGGAATAATTTGTACTCAGGGTCCTTTGACTCTGCCTCTTCGACTGTGTTTGTCAGGGAGGAGGGTAAAGGGTTAACCCCGTGAGACTGGAATCTTCTAGCTCATCAAACAAGGGGATGTCCAAGTAGACGTTTGTATCTTTGATAGGGTTTGAGGTGTACAGGTACATAAAAGCACCTTCATTTTAGACAAGATTCAAATTTTGGGACAAATTCATATTTGCTCCCTAATTTGCCAGAGAGTATAGCTCCTACAATGTTTGACCAAACTTCACTAAACAAAAATAGCTTGTGGAAAATCTAATAAAACTGCTGACTTGTTGAACATTTTCCAAAGAATATAATTGTGTTACTTTTAGGTATCAGAAGTGAAAAAATAAAAACTAATGAAATACTGCCAAATATAAGCTTAAAATGATGGATAAAATGCAAAGATCATATATCATATAGCTGATGCTATTTTTAAATGGAAAGTGGGTGATGTTAACAGTGATTATTTAATATTTTAAGATATTAAACAAAGATACTTTGAAAAGTTTATGGACATGCACATTATGAAGAAACTGCATGATTTCAATATTTTTCACTAAAATAAAATCATCTTTTAATTCCATTTTACCATGAACTTTAGAGTATCCTCATATCCAGTTATAGTGTTCTTTCCTGTAGCGAAAAAAATTGTTCTTATTTGTCTTTCAATTTATTTGAAAAGGAGAGACAGACAATCAGAGAGCTCCTATCTGCCAGTTCATGCCCCAAATACCTACAGCAACTGAGGCTGGACCAGGCCAAGACCAGGAGCCAGGAACTCAATCGAGTCTCCCGCGTAGGTGTCAGGGACCTAACTACTTGAGCCATCACCTCCTGCTTCCCAGGCTGCACTTTAGCAGAAAGCTGGGTTTAGGAACTGACCTAGGACTCAAACTCCAATACGGTATGCAAGTTCTAAGCAGTGTCTTAACAGCTACATCAATCCCCTGCCCCAGCAAATCTTTTTTGTTGAGAGTACAATAGCAGAATTAATGACAAACTTATTTGAATTTTATCTAAGCTTCTGATATAATGTAGCAAAAATTAATGATCTTTATATATGAAAATTACATTGTGGATTCACTTTGTGGGGAAGAGTTATAAATCATTAGTGTCAAGAACATAGAAGTTCAGGTGTGTTTTCAGAAGTAAGCTACCTCAATTCATGTTTGAAAGGTAGTCGGTGGTTCTTCATTGCCTTCCCTTCTCAAAATACATTCAGAATCTCCAGAAGACTAACCCCCAAAAGAAGGAGCTAAGTGGTAAATTGAAAAGCTGGAACCAGTTCCCATGGTTTTTCCATGTTTCATGTTTGGCAGCTGCTGGGTTCCTGACAAAGGGCTGCTTGCTGGCTTTATGATGCATATCAAATGAAAGCTCACAGCCGCAGGCTCCAAAATAAGTATATGCTGTTCCATGGAAAATCTGCATCTTAATATTGCCAAGGTTTTGCTCCAGGGTTTCATGCAAAATTAGGTTTTTAAGGGCAGTTTAGTAACTTATTGAGATCATCAAGAAACATTACTTTGTTTGGAGGTGTGAGGGTAGCCAAGGGCAAGAGTAATTCTTTTTAATGCAACTTATTTAACATCCATATGTTTGGGCAATAACCTGAACTTTAATCAGATCTTACATTACTCCTCACAGTCAACCCAGCTTCAAGTTTATTGAAAAATTATAAAATACAAAGAATCTATCTTATGGTAAAACTTAGTATACTTGCAGACATTAGTGTTGTTTTAATAAGAGTCTTTTATTTAAGTACTTCAATTGTATATTAGAAAGGAATCATCGTCTACCTAATGGAGATTCAGTGGGTTTCCCTTTGAATGAAGGCTTGTGCTTTCCTTTCTTTTTAATTGTCAGAAAAAAAAGATATTAGTGAGTGGTAGAGACGTCTTATCAATCTTACTCACTTTCATTGGCATTTGTTATGAACCTATCCCTAAGTGAATTAAGTCACCATCTGGGTACCATTGGGTTTTCCTTTACTCAAAAAGAAAAGTATTTACTTCTGACTTTGAGAGTAGTTTGGGGAAGAAAGCTGGCTATACTTTCTTTTTTTTTTTTAACTTTTATTTAATGAATATAAATTTCCAAAGTACAGCTTATGGATTACAATGGCTCCCCCCCATAATTTCCCTCCCACCCGCAACCCTCCCCTTTCCCGCTCCCTCTCCCCTTCCATTCACATCAAGATTCATTTTCGATTCTCTTTATATACAGAAGATCAATTTAGCATATATTAAGTAAAGATTTCAACAGTTTGCACCTACATAGAAACACAAAGTGAAAAATACTGTTTGAGTACTAGTTATAGCATTAAATCACAATGTACAGCACATTAAGGACAGAGATCCTACATGAGGAGTGAGTGCACAGTGACTCCTGTTGTTGACTTAACAAATTGACACTCTCGTTTATGGCATCAGTAATCACCCTAGGCTCTTGTCATGAGTTGCCAAGGCTATGGAAGCCTTTTGAGTTCACCGACTCCGATCTTATTTACACAAGGTCAGCTGGCTATACTTTCTAGCCCAGTCCTTGAGAATAAAGCCAGAGGAATCTGGAGCCAGTAGTAACATGAGCTAGTTAGGTAACCATTTTGTGGCTTTGAGTCTCGTCTGCTTGTTTGCAAATGCAAGTGATAGAATGAGCAGATGATGGAGTCTAGTCACTTTGCTCTCTCATTGGGAGCTTGGCTGGGACAAGATGGTTTCCCATCAACTTAACCATCAGGCAGGGAAGACAGGTGAGGAAAGCAGAGATGGCCTGAAGCCAGGCACTTGCACTCGATGAGTTTCATTTTCTCATCTTAATATTAGGGAGCTAGGTTAATTGTTTTCCAGTTAGTTCTGAAGATAAAGCTAAAGAAGCATTCTGAGCAAGGAGACACAAATTGAGATGCTGTGGGCAGCTGAGTCATCTACTGGGGGAAGCATAAAAATTACTTGGCAAGTTAGGTTAGAAAAACATGGAATCCTGGTATTCACTTTAAAGATCTAACTGGTGGGTCTCTGCATTTTAAGTAAGCACCTGAGGCATTTCCTGAAGCAGGCTGGTTCAAGGACCACACTTAAGGAAAACAAGGAACCGAATGAATGTTTTCTAAATAGCCCTTCACCCTTTCACCTTGGGACTTCATGTTTGATTGTGAGAAAGAAAAAAAATCCTTTACTGTTTAAAAGCATAAACTGCATTCCAAGATTTCAAGTCATTTTTAGAAATACATACACTGCAAAAGATGAATTAAGAATTACTTGGAAAACAGAGACCAATGTAAAGTAACAGAGAAATAGTAAAGTCAGAGTAGGTTTAATTACATGAAATGGAAGCTAAATGGTCCTGTACAGTCTCTGGAGTATGCAAAACATTTAATATCAAACTTCCTCAAAACAAAGTCAAGAGCAAAGAAATATGCAAAAGATAAAGTATATCATTTTTCATGGCACAAGAACCTGAGGCCACATAGTGTTATTTTTTTAATATTGTGATGTGTCTTTTCTTTCCTTTTTTAACTTTTATTTAATAAATATAAATTTCCAAAGTACAGCTTTTGAATTACAGTGTCTTCTCCCACCCGCAACCATCCCATCTCCAGCTCCCTCTCCCATTCCATTCACATCAAGATTCATTTTCTATTCTCTTTATATACAGAAGATCAATTTAGCGTATATTAAGTAAAGATTTCAACAGTTTGCACCCACACAGAAACACAAAGTGTAAAGTACTGTTTGAGTACTAGTTATAGCATTAATTCACATTGGACAACACATTAAGGACAGAGATCCTACATGGGGAGTAAGTGCACAGTGACTCCTGTTGTTGACTTAACAAATTGACACTCTCGTTTATGGCATCAGTAATCACCCTAGGCTCTTGTCATGAGTTGCCAAGGCTATGGAAACCTTTTGAGTTCGCCAACTCGGATCTTATTTCGACAAGTTCATAGTCAAAGTGGAGGTTCTCTCCTCCCTTCAGAGAAAGGTACCTCCTTCTTTGATGGCCCGTTCTTTCTACTGGGATCTCACTCACAGAGATCTTTCATTTAGGTGTTTTTTTGTTTTGTTTTTGTTTTTTGTTGTTGTTGTTGTTGTTTTGCCAGAGTGTCTTGGCTTTCCATGCCTAAAATACTCTCATGGGCTCTTCAGCCAGATCCAAATGCCTTAAGGGCTGATTCTGAGGCCAGAGTGCTATTTAGGACATCTGCCATTCTACGAGTCTGCTGTGTATCCTGCTTCCCATGTTGGATCATTCTCTCCTCTTTAATTCTATCAGTTAGTATTAGCAGATACTAGTCTTGTTTATGTGATCCTTTCATTATGATCAATTGTGAACTGAAACTGATCACTTTTATTAGTGAGATGGCATTGGTACATGCCACCTTGATGGGATTGAATTGGAATCCCCTGGCACATTTCTAACTCTTCCGGTAGGGTAAGTCCGATTGAGCATGTCCCAAATTGTACATCTCCTTCCTCTCTTATTCCCACTCTTAGATTTAACAGGATTCATTTTTCAGTTAAATTTAAACACCTAAGAATAATTGTATGTTAATTAAAGAATTCAACCAATGTTATAGAGGTGATGCTCACTGCCTGATCCCTGCAAGAGTTGAGAATAATTTAATGTAACTATTTCTTCTAGCCCCTAAGTTTTAAGAGTCTACAGGGGCCAATGCAATTTGGTTCAAGTTTGCAGCTTGTGTCATGCAATTTAGCTTATTCCCTCTGCACTTGAACCTGCAAAATAGCCTAGGGACTTCTGTTAGAGGTAGGATATTACTGAGAGCATCAAAAGATTCAGCCTCTGTTAAGTCCCCACTGGCCGGATCATCTTGATCATTGTTTTGACTTGATGGAGTTTTGACTCCAGTACGTGACCATTTTTGTGATAATCAATTCTAATTGCCTTAAAAACCAATACTCAAGTAAAAAGGAAAAAAATCTAAAAAAATTTAAAAGATTCATCCTCTAGTACCTCATTCCCCTATCTGCCCTTTACCTCCCTCTACTTTCCCTTCTCTTGGGACATGGCCTGAAAGATCATGGCCTCTCTTTGCCAAATACCCTTCTAATTATCCTTAAGACAGCTTGCCATCAACAATCATAGAGCATTCTTCTCATGTAGGGGACATATCAAATAACTCAGAAAAACATATTCTAAATGGAGCCAGGGTGAGTTAAGTGGCTATGACTACTCCACTCTAAACTTCTCCCTTAATTCTGGGTCAGCCTCCATTGAAACAAGTATTATAGGAGAGAAAAACTGTATCTCTCTATCCGTCTTAGGTTAAGGACCTATAAATTAGACAAAAGTCAGACTACTGAGAGAAGGGCAAACGGAAGTTAACTGACATTTGCATCCTTGCATACACAGGAGAACACTCAAAGCAGTGGTTAGAACATCAAACTGCAGAGAAATGGAAAGACAAAGGAGAAGGACTTCGAGTTTCCAGGGTGGCAAATTGTAGGACGTTAAATAAATGAAGAAGCTCATGGACGACAGGCCTAGCTAGTGAGGTGGTGTAGATTCCTGTGGTTCTTCCTTCAGGGAGAGAAGGAGGACACGTTCATAAATCTGTGCCTTGCATTTAAGCAAATAGGAAGGAGTGAGAGAGCTTTTGCTGTATCTGCTTTCCAGTTGCTTTCAGCTCAAAACAATCTTTATGCCAAAGGGCAATAGTACGGCAAATTCTGCTACCCTTCCAGGTCCTCTGGAAGTGTTTCCTGAAGTGGAAGCCTGCCATGCCTTCCTCTGGATTCTGCCTTCTATTGTTTCCACCTGTCGTCTGAATCAGTCTCCTTCTGAATACTGTCCAGGAAGGGAGGTTTGCTTCATTTCCTTTTATTAGGTTCTTGCATTTCTTACACTATCTACCCACCAACTGGATATATAGTAGGCTTTTAATAAATGCCTTTTATGACTATTATTGATTTGTTCAAGAAGCAGTGTAATTGATTATGTAATGTGTTTCTTGCACTGTGCTTTTTTTCTGACTTCATTGCCATTTTTTTACACAGAAATAAGTAATTTGCCAGAGGTCACATAGCCAATGAGTAAATATAGTTCAATTTGATACTTTCCACTTTACCTATCTGCTGGATGAGCTTTGCTATGCTATATGTAATATCCCACCCATATATAACCAAATCCACATAAAGACAGTTACCTAGAAGGTTTAACATTTAATCTCTAGTTCTATTAATAGTTTGAAATTGTATAGACCAATTACTATACTTATAGGTGTCTAGAACTTCATCAAATCTGGTCTTCACATTCATTATCTTTTTAAAAAAGATTTTATTTATTTATTTGAGACATAGAGTTACAGACAGTGAGAAGAAGAGACAGAGAGAAAGGTCTTCCATCCACTGGTTCAATCCCCAAATGGCCACAGTGATCGGAGCTGCACTGATCCAAAGCCAGGAGCCAGGAGCTTCTTCTGGGTCTCCCACACAAGTGCAGGGGCCCAGGTACTTCAGGTACTTGGGCCATCTTCTACTGCTTTCCCAGGCCATAGCAGAGAGCTGGATGGGAAGAGGAGCAGCTGGGACTAGAACCGGCACCCATATGGATGCTGGCACCGCATGCGGAGGATTAACCTACTGTGCCATAGCACTGGCCCCCACATTCATTATATTTTGACCATCCACAACCCTTCAATTGTGTGCAACTCAGCACTGTAACTTTTAGGTCTTTAGCTTCTTGGAACCTAAGCTACTACAGGCAGAAAACTTCAAAGCTGAGCATTTACTCTAGTGATTTCCTGGCCAACTTGTTAAACTCTAATATTGTTCTTTAATGATTACCCTTGCTGGCTTTTATGCAAATAATCCAAAGGATTGTTCACCATTTAATTGCCTTTATTTTTCCTCTTTCAACTGAGGTCTTGGTGTGATTATCATCGGCTTAGCCGTGACAGTGACTGGTATCACTGGTTTATCCACCTCTGCTATTGCCACAAATGGATATGTCAGAGGAGGTAATTAAACTTGTGACCTGCAACATCATTTGTAAGGTAAAGGCAACACAGGCTCAAATAGTTCACCACTGACCTTTCTGGAGTGTTTCAAAGGTAATGCAAGTTGGTTCCTTTTCTCCCCAGGCAAAGGGATGCAAGAAAAATGGAGAAGGATTTAACCTTTGTCAAACCCCCAACTTTCTCATGCAGGTTCCTCGTAAGCAAGAGAGAAGGTCAAATGTCATGTTTTCTCTTTTCACAGCCAGGGTAGTTTCTCTCCCAGGACACAAGCATAAGTCAACTTTTCCTTTCCAGGACTGCATTTTAGATTGTGTTTACTTTTGGAAACCATCCTTCATCGTAATGAGCAGTTCTCTGACCTAATCTTTATGCCAGTCATATCAGTTTCTCCTTAGTACAAAGACACCCCGTTGGGCCCAAGTCATGGATCTGAAAACTTAAATTAAAGGCAGTACAGCCCAAAACACTGGGGAAACCAAGGAAGAAAAGTAAAATGTAATATCTTCTATCTTTCATTGCTAACAGGTCTTGGAGTTGTCATAATTCTTCTTTCCACCATGGTAACTTCTATTACTGGGTTGTCAACTTCTGCAATAGCAACTAACGGGTTTGTTCGTGGAGGTAAAATCTCTAAGATATCTAATGCCCTCATCACTTGCTACGGGTAGGCCAACATTTTTATAATTCTTTTTGATGGGAAGAAGTCACCCAGCATTTGTGAAGTCTGGTTAACCATTTGGAGGAGCTGCATGTAGAAGGAAACCTAAGGCATCGTGAGTACAGTCCAGGTCTCTGGTCACCTCTGGTCACCTTTCTAACAGAACTCTTTGGTACATTGCAGGCAGGTCATGGTTTACACATGCACAAACTCCTTGGTAAACATCTTCTTTTTCAGGTCAGTCTGCACATTTGCTGGTGTTTCTTGGAAAATGATTCTTGGACGTGCCTTCAGTTTTAAAGTTCAGTACATTTCAGGGGCTTCCTAGACCTTCATGGAATGGACTCTTTCAGAACATTTCAGGTTTTCGTGGGGATACTGGTCCTTCTGTGACAAGATTGAGGGAGCTGCCTCCTGATGTTCTGGTGACTTCTTTCAGTATTGGAGCCAAACACTTCTCTTGGGGCATTTTGCAGGTCTTGGAATTATCGTCATTGGCCTGAGTGTGGTCGTGACAACACTCACAGGTATTTCTATGTCTGCTATTTGCACAAATGGAGTAGTAAGAGGAGGTAAGCCAATTAATTTACTTATAACTACATGCTTTGGTGATGCAGTAATGTCCAGAGTTGGCTTAATAATGGAAGTAAAATTTGAATATTGCAAATTATCCCCCAAAATCTTAAAGCAAAACAAAATAGCTGAAAATGCAAACAGTAAGGCAAAATTCTTGTGAACTAAAATTAGATCTCCAGAAAAACTTTCTTTGACCAATTTTCTGTGGCAAAACATGGTTATAAAGTAGTTTCAATCTATGGTTTCTTTGTACCCTGGGTGAATCCTAGGGACTGTTTCCCAGGTCCCCTCAGCATGGGTCTTCTCTAGCCCCCTCAACCACCAGCTGGTGATTCCCACTTGGTAACCACTCCTACACACAAACTTAAGAGCTCATCCCAAACTCATTGAGCTGCATGGCCATCAGGCATGGGAAGATTATTTAAAAGACAATAAACAACAAATAAAACAGAGTCAATTTCAAACCATCCAAAAAGAGACAGGCCTTGGCTGGAAATGAAGCAGATGAAATTGAAAATTGTCTCCTAATTTCTTTTCTTCCTCCTCCCCTTCCCCTTTTCAGAGATTTTTAGAGATCGCTCCTTGTGTACCTTAACAGGAATCCCTATTCAGAGTCTTCTAAACACCATGCTACACACCACATACAATCTCTCCCAACTTTTGCCTATCTGTCATTCTAGATAAGCAGCTGGATAATTTGCTTAATATAATCAGGATAAAGGAAATAATGGGATTTGCTCCATTCAGAAAACAGATTTTTAGCAAGGACTCTGACCCTTAACACAAAGGGTTTGCTATGGAGAAAGAAATTCCTTTTCATTAAAAGGTAATGTGTTTTGAGTTGACGTTTGTTCAATGTCATTTCCATGCCAACTCTGTTCACTTCAGAGACTAGCTCAATATAAGAAGTCCTAAACACTGTAGGCTGTTGACCAGTCCAGTTCAGTCTTTCATGTGCACAGACATACACAACCATCTACAAAACTACTTCTTCAATGTCCCAAGGAGAAACCACTGTTTTAAGTCCTCCCTATCATTCTTCCCACTTGCTAAGTGCATGTACATCTGGATATTTAACAACAATAATGCCTTCTTAAACTACAACCATGGAAAACCAAGTCTGATATTTAGAATAATACACAGCATTTGGGGACTGGCACTGTGGCATAGTAGGCTAAGCCTCCACCTGCAGTGCAGGCAGGTGCTAGTCTTGGCTGCTCCTCTTCCAATCCAGCTCTCTGCTATGGCTTGGGAAAGCAGTGGAAGATGACCCACATGTTTTGTCCTTCCTTGTGCTATCATCACAGTGGTACAGCCATCTCCATGTACTTGTGTGGGGACTTGGAAGAAGCTTCTGGCTCCTGGCTTCGGATTGGCTCAGCTCCGGTCATTGTGGCCATTTGGGGAGTGAACCAGCAGATGGAAGACCTTTGTCTCTATCTCTCCCTCTCTCTATCTGCAACTCCACCTCTTGAATAAATAAATATATAATCTTTAAAAAACATAGAGCATTCTACAGGCACCTTGCTTCACGCAGTATGTTTATACACGTGCATACATACCTACATATATAAGTGCAACAGAAGTGAATTAGAAAAACAAAGATAAACTTTACTCACTTCACTTTTTAAGAAATCTTATTTATTCATTTGAAAGTCAGAGTTACAGAGAGAGGAAGGGAGAAAGACACACAGAGAGAGAGAGAGATCTGCTGGTTCATTCCCTAAATGGATACAAAAGCCTGGACTGGGCCAGGCTGAAATTGGAAGCCTACAGGGGCCCAAAGACTTGGGCCATCTTCTGCTGCTTTCCCAGGCACATTAGCAGGGAGCTGGATCAGAAATGTAGCAGCTGAGACTCAAACTGGTGACCATATGGAATGTTAGCATTGCAGGTGGGCAGATAAACCCATTATGCCACAGTGTTGGACTCTACCCACTTCATTTTCTACCAAGGCCTGTCCCTGGAAATTTTGGACATAGTACTTTGCTTTAGTTGAATTATTAATTTGAATACTGCAGTGATTTTTTAAAGACAAAGCATTTTTGGAGGTTTCTGTCTTCTTATATGCAGAATTTTTTGACATTCCAGTCTCAATAAATTGGATTTTATTGAGATATTTCCACTGCAGACTGTGCAGAGTACATGAAATGGCTAAATTATTCACTAAGATGATGTGAGATTCCTATAATTATTAGGAAATTATCATATTTTTATTAGACTAGTTAACAGTTTGAGTGTTATCAGATATTCAAAGTCATTTGATCACATAAACTAATACATTAGCATTTCCTCAATGTAAAGAATGTTCATTTCTGTTTCAGGTGGGGCCTATTATCTAATTTCAAGAAGCTTAGGGCCCGAGTTCGGTGGGTCAATAGGCTTGATCTTTGCTTTTGCCAATGCAGTGGCTGTTGCTATGTATGTGGTGGGATTTGCTGAGACTGTGGTAGATCTTCTTAAGGTAATTAAAAGCTTTTCTTTCCTTTGGCCAAGATGGATAATTCTATTTTGTTTGCTGTTTTAGGGCACTAGGACAATGTTATGGGGGAAAGGTAGACATAGTGAAAGGAGTTGCAGGGTTAGCATCAAAAGGTCTGGCTTTGAGACTCGGCTCTCACATTTATTATCTGAGATTCTTGGGGCCAGTCCCTCTATTCCTGGGGACTTTGTTTTCCAAATATATAAAATGGACTCAGAATATTATTGTATGCATTTCATAGGAAGTTGGTACAGATCAAATGAACTAATGTATGTGAAAATGAAACATCAGATAAGCAATGGATGTTATTATTAGCAGTAAAACTATTTTTATGGTTATATATTTCCAAAGGTAAAGGAAGCTCAAATACTGGAAAAATTCACTGCAGAAAACAAGGCATTCTCTAGTTTAGGGGCCCCCTTTAGAAGGGTGTGTGTGCAATCACACTGATTAGCTCATAAACAAACTAACTTCTAGTCTTCCTTTCATGATAACACTTGGATTCACTAAATTGGTAAAAGTACCTCTACCTGAAATGTAGACAAATGAATGTATTATATATTTAATATAATATGTTATCTTTTAAGAGATGCATTATCAGGTCTCTGTAGTCAATTCTTATATTTAACAGCACTTAATTTTCCAATAGTCACTTTATTAACCACTCATTTTTATTCTTCTAGGATTCCCCTTGACACACAAACGTAACTATTTTTATGAAACAAAACACAATAGGTATTTGTGTGCAGAATTTTACTGTGTGCCACAATAGCTTCAAAAGCTGTAACTAGAATTAATCTCTAAAATTTCCAACTCCTGTCCATGGATCTCAAAGGTTTATTATCTTGGAAAAGTAAAATAGGGTTAGGTTCTTTATATTCTCAAATTTATGAGCACTTTATTTTTATGTTATCCAAGATGGCCCCAGGCAATAGTGTAGAGTATCTTTTCATTGTTAAATGCTAACATAAGACACATATGCAAAAAGCTATATATCTAAGTATGTCAGTGATTCTTTTTTAGGAAAGTGATTCAATGATGGTGGATCCAACCAATGACATCCGGATAATAGGCTCCATCACAGTGGTGATTCTTCTAGGAATTTCAGTCGCTGGGATGGAATGGGAAGCAAAGGTGAATTTCTCCAAATGATTTTATCAACAACTGATGATCAGGTCCTCAACAAATTGCAGAGATAGGAAGAATCCCATATTAAAAAAAAAATCACTATTACTATCTGCTACCATGAGAGGAGCAGCAGAGAGCCAGGTGGAATACCAAGCTCACAAAGCACAAAGTCCCAAGCAGTTGTGACTCGCAGCTCCGATGTTTTAGTTGCCCCCTGTGTTTTGTCCTTCTTTGTGCTATCATCCCAGTGGTTCAGCTACAAGTTTGCTGCCATCTTCTTGTACAGACTCATTATGCTCATAGCAACAGTCCACACTAGAAGCCTTTGTCTCTTAGTCACAAACTGTGGTTTCCCTTTCAAGCTTCTGGGTGCTGAAGCCCAAAAGCAATGACAAGTATGTTGGGCGAAACTAACAGAGACAGGAACAACCATTCCTCTCCGACACTCAGAACTTCACCAGAAAACCCTAGCACAACATAGCCTTTATAAGCAGAAAATATCTGTATTTAACCATGAGCAAAAATTGATAGCAAATTTCTGACTGATGAGTAACATGTCTTTTGCTTCCTTTATAACTCCCTACAGTAATTGGTACAATCAAAAAATGTTCCCTTGTGCCTGAAGATGCAGTAACTAGTCCTCAAGTGGTCACTAGAAGTAGGTTCATAAAGCCTCGGACCTATATAAGGCAGTAGGAAATGTTAGCATTAATTTGTGGATCATGCATTCACACATTAAAAAAAATTAAGCGCCTAACATGTTCTGTGAGGCAGTAGATAGTCATCAAAACAGGCACAGTGTTAGCCCTGGTTCAGCATATGACCTATAAATAGATGAAAAATAAATAATACATACAAAATGGTAAATTGTGAGAAGTACTACAAAGGAAATAAAGATAACATTGAATACCTACTTTACAGGTTATTCCCTGAAGGAAATAATATAGATCATGGCAGGATAGTGTAGTATTCAAAGCTCTAGCTCTGCAGTTAGAGTGCCTGGATTTCAATCTAGTTAATACCTCTGTGACCTTGAGTAAATTACTTAACTTCTGTATGCCTCAGTTTTCTTATCTTTAAAATGGGAATAATAAAATTACCCATTATGTAAAATTAAATCTGTATCTATTACATTGTGAGTCCTCAGTGAACATTAGCTGCTATTATTTAGATTAAGTGGTCAGGAAAAACCTCTCTCTCTCTCTCCCTCTCTGTCTCTGTCTCCCCCCTCCCCTTCAAGATTTGTTTAATTATTGGAAAAGAAGAGAGAAAGAGAGAGTGAGAGAAAAAGACAGAGATCTTCTATCCAGTGGTTCACTTCCCAATCGACCACAACAGCCAGTCCTAGGCCAGGCCACATTTGGAGCCAGGAATTCCACCCAGGTCTCCCACAAGGGTGGCATGAACCAAAGTACTTGGGTCATCATTTGCTATCTCCCAGGTGCATTATCAGGAAGCTGGATGAGAAGTATTGAGTAGGGGCCAGTGTTTTCAGCCGGTTATCTTGTCACCTGCATGCTGGCATCCTATATCAGAGTATCGGTTTCAGCCCCAGCTGCTCTGTTTCTGTTACAGCTCTTTGCTAATACTTGGGTCCCTGCCACCCACTTCAGAGACCCAGTTGGAATTCCAACCTCTTAGTTTTGGCCTGGTAGTCATTTGGGGGATGAACCAGCAGATGGAAGATCTCTTTCTCTGTCTCTCCCTTTCTTTCATTCCACCTTTCAAATAAATAAAAATTATAAAATTTTAAAAAATAAAACTTAAAGAAAGAAGTATAGAATAGCCAGAACTTCAACTGACATTGCAATATGGGATGCAGGTGTCCCAAGCAGTGGCTTCACACACGATACCACAACACCACACGTGCCCTCACAGAAAAACTCTCCAAGGAAGTAACAGACTTAAAAGATGAGAAGAAATAGCTATGCAAAGAGTAGGGTAAAGCAGAATCCCAGTAGAGAGAGCAAAAAGCCAGTATGCCAATGTTGAGAGCCTGAAGGGAGCTCACTGGACTGGTCACTTTTGCAGACTGCTTGTGCTGAACACATGTTGGCAGCCTGACATCAAGTGGACTGGGCATCACATGAATTCTGTGACTCATTCTGTGTTCTTGTACTCCTTTTGCAGTTAGCACTGGAAAGAGGAATGTGTTTTGCCTAAATAATAAGTCTACCAGTGTTAAAGCCTTCAGCTCCTTGCATATTACAAGGGCTAATACAGTAGTTGGCTACTTAGAATGTTCTTGAAATGTTACCATGAGGAGCCAAAGCACATTCTTCTATTGAGCATGCACCTCAGGTAGACTTAGGTTTATTAAGATGCCGTTCTACAAGGGTGCATTTAGTACCTGCTCTAGGTGGCAGTCTTAACTGGAAAATTAGACGGTCTTTCTGCAGTGGACACTTACAACATTTATTAGCATGTAAGTTTTAAAATTAATCTAATTTGATCTCCTTTTACTTTGCCATTGCAGGCTCAAGTGATTCTTCTGATCATTCTCCTCATTGCTATTGCAAACTTCTTCATTGGAACTGTCATTCCATCTAACAATGAGAAGAAATCCAGAGGTTTCTTTAATTACCAAGGTACATATGACAAATTAGTTGCTTTTCAGTATACGTTTCTCTATATTTCCCTTTCATTACCATCCCCAGCACCAAAACCACAGTGATCAAAACACCAGTGTGGTTCACGGAAGATCCAATGTGGATTTGAGACCCAGGATTGGGCCAGCCCCGCGGCTCACTTGGCTAGTCTTCCGCTTGCGGCACCGGTGCCCTGGGTTCTAGTCCTGGTCGGGGTGCCAGATTTTGTCCTGGTTGTCCCTCTTCCAGGCCAGCTCTCTGCTGTGGCCTGGGAGTGCAATGGAGGATGGCCCAAGCCTTTGGGCCCTGCACCTGCATGGGAGACCAGGAGGAAGCACCTGGTTCCTGGCTTTGGATCAGCGCGGCGTTCCGGTCCCAGTGTGCCAGCTGTAGCGGCCATTTGGGGAGTGAACCAATAGAAGGAAGACCTTTCTCTCTGTCTCTCTCTCTCAATGTCCACTCTGCCTGTCGAATAAAACAATGTAGAATGAGAGAGAGAGAGAGAGAGAGAGATCCAGGATCACTTAACATGTTTGAGTCTTAACATTTTCCTGCTGAAGTGAGGGTGCTAATAATAACATCTTCGGGAATTTTGAGAACAAAATAAGATATTGGCTATGAAAATGTTTTATAAACCTTAAAACGTTGGGCAAATTTTTTTTTTTGACAGGCAGAGTGGACAGTGAGAGAGACAGAGACAGACAGAAAGGTCTTCCTTTACCATTGGTTCACCCTCCAATGGCCGCCACAGCCGGCGTGCTGTGGCTGGTGCACTGTGCTGATCCGATGGCAGGAGCCAGATGCTTATCCTGGTCTCCCATGGGGTGCAGGGCCCAAGCACCTGGGCCATCCTCCACTGCACTCCCTGGCCACAGCAGAGAGCTGGCTTGGAAGAGGAGCAACCGGGACAGAATCCGGTGCCCCGACCGGGACTAGAACCCGGTGTGTTGGCGCCACAAGGCGGAGGATTAGCCTAGTGAGCCGCGGCACCAGCCCAGGCAAATTGTTTTTGCTATCTACTAGTAGATGTAGCACTTGCAAGGAAAGGGAACCCAACTCAAACTATTTGTTCAACAATTGTAGACCACCCAAGCCAAGCACGATCATTTTTTTTCTTCTGGGCAGACTTTTTTTGCATCTTCTCTTGCTATTGCATTTCCTGGTCAAACATCACTGTCAGATTTCCATGTATAAATGATTGTTGGAGTAACTTAGTATAGCATCCTGTGATAACATCAATAGGCATGAAATTTGACTTTTCTCTCCAATTTTACTGCACCTACCCACTCTTTCTCACTCAAAAATCTACTGCTCGGGTTTTTAAATTTTTCCTTCATTATTTGCTCAGCTTTCAGTAATTTGTGTCCTTTTCCTATCACCCCCTTTTTCTTGTTTCTTCTTCTTGGTAAAGATTGTCTTACTTGCTTCTCATGTCAACATCCTTTTCCTTTCTATTCTTTCCTCTCCTACTGTACTTTTATGATTTTCCTAACTTTTGTACCTCAGATTCTTTTGTTCACATTTTCTTCTTCCCTTTCTTCCTCCTTTCTATTTTCCCTCTAGATTTTTTCCTTTGCATCTAACTATTTTGGTGACAATCTGAGGTACAGTATTATTTTATAAACACAGCTTCTCACTAGAATATCCTCCCATATAGGAAAAATTTGTATAATGATCTAAAATCCAATCTGTGGGTATGAGGAGTGAAGAGATTTATATATTAGTAGCAAAATGGTAAAGTAGCCTCACCCACAAAATTACCCTATAACTTTTTTTAAAGAAAATAGTGTTTATTATTTAAGGTTTTTATATATTTGAGAATGTAGTTTTATGTGTGGAGGTGGTGGTGTTGTATGAGTATTTGTAGTTTACTTGTGACTATGCTAGTATGGTCATAACAAAATTCTTCATCTCCTCCTCTTTCAAACTAAATTCACAGAGGTCAAGCAGCCGAGGTCTCTGTTGACACACACAAAAAAAAATCATTGATTTTTTTTTTTTTTTGGAACTACATGCTAGGGGAGTGAATTTTTGAATTTTGGTAAATATTAACATAGTGTCCATCAGAAGTTCACCAGCATATCCAAGTTCATTCCATTTAGAATATAGGGATGATTTGTATTTAGAAATATAAGGCCGGCGCCGCAGCTCACTGGGCTAATCCTCCACCTGCGGTGCTGGCACACCGGGTTCTAGTCCTGATCGGGGCCCCGGATCCTGTCCCGGTTGCCCCTCTTCCAGGCCAGCTCTCTGCTGTGGCCTGGGAGTGCAGTGGAGGATGGCCCAAGTACTTGGGCCCTGCACCCCATGGGAGACCAGGAGAAGCACCTGGCTCCTGCCATCGGATCAGCGCGGTGCGCCGGCCGCAGCGCACTGGCCATGGCGGCCATTGGAGGGTGAACCAACGGCAAAGGAAGACCTTTCTCTCTGTCTCTCTCTCTCACTGTCCACTCTGCCTGTCAAAAAATTAAAAAAAATATATAAAAGTCAAAGATATTTTGTCTCTATTACTGTAAACAATGTTTACATGATGATTTTCTCTTAATTGATATTGCAGCATCAATATTTGCAGAAAATTTTGGGCCAAGCTTCACAAAGGGTGAAGGCTTCTTCTCTGTCTTTGCCATCTTCTTCCCAGCAGCCACTGGGATACTTGCTGGTGCCAACATCTCAGGAGACTTGGAGGTATGTTGTTTGTTTTCTCTGCTTTGTAGTCTTGGGAGGTGGTAGTGGACTTGATGGACAGCCCGGGGAGCTATGGAGATTAAATGTGACTACATTTCCCTACAGATTCAAAGCCATAAGATTTCTGTAAGGTTTTCTGACTGTTTCTTCCAATGCCAAAATTGGATTCCTTTAACAGATAGTTTTTCCAATAGTCTTGAGTGATAATGGAACAGAATATATATTGTGTCATTTTTACAACAAAATTAATATAATTAAGTAAAAAAATACCAGAACCACCTTTTTTCTTTAAAACTCATAATGAGGAGCCAGTGTTGTGGTACAGAGGGGTAAGCCACAGCCTGCAATGCCAGAATCCCATATGAGTACTGGTATGAGTCCTGGCTGCTCCATTTCCAATCCTTCTCACTGCTAATGGCCTGGAAAAGCAGCTGAAGAAGGCCCAAGTGCTTGGGCCCCTGCCAACCACATAGGAAACCCAGATGAAGTTCCTGGCTCCTGGCTTTGGCCTGGCCCAGCCCTGGCCATTGTAGCTATTTGGTGAGTGAACTAGAGGGTGGAAGATCTCTGACTCTGTCTCTGTCTCTCCCTCTCTGTCTCTGTAACTCTACCTTTCAGATAAATAAATAAATCTTTAAAAAATGAATGAGAACATGAAACATTCATGAACAAGCAAGTAATAAAACAAAACAAAACAAAAAAAACCAACTGCTTTAGCACTGCTCTTATACTATATTTTATGATATGTACCATTAAAAGCATTGTATTAGTTAGGATTTTGGTTTGAATGCTTTATAAAAAATCAATAACAGTAGCCAAAACAAAGCAGTTGATTTTCCCAGTATATGAAAATTGGAGTTCACTGCCCATCCAGTGCTCCAAAAGGTAGCCTAGGTCTCCTTTTTTACTACGACCTTGGAGTTCGCCCTCATCTGCAAGGTCCAAGAAGAAAGATCATTTCCAAGACAATATTCTAATTCATAGGAGGAGAATGAGAAAATAGAGAGCAAACAGTTGCTGGAACTTGAATTTACTGCTTCTATTGACATCTTACTAGCCAGAATTTAGAATTATGACCATATCCAGTTTCCAGAGAGTTTGAGAAATGTAGTCCCTAATGGAACAGCTATGTGCCCAAATAAGATTTTAGGAGTCTGTCCAATCAAAAGGAAGAAAATGAGCAGAATAAATATAGGGGACAATAAGGACTTTGTACCACATACACAAAAAGTAGAAGACACAGTTTTTGCTTAAAAAATTTATAATCAAGTTCAGAAGACAAAACATCTTTTCAAGAGTCATCAGAAGACTTGTATAAATTAACACCAAATGTACTACCCTCGTGGGTTGTGAAATAGTTTTACAAACAATTGTTAGGTCAGTCAGAGATGATTTCCTAAGGGAAGTAACTTTTGAACCTGAACTTAAGTAAAGGCTAAATACTATTGGTGAGGAAATTCAAGGGTTTCCCAGGCTGAGAAGACAATAAGAACACTCCAACATAAGAAAATCTTGAGAAGTCTCTTATGTTTCAACTGGAGACATCTTATATAGCTGGATAAAGGAGAGAGGAAACAACTTTGGCAGGATCTGAGTGAGAGGTACTTGATTTAGCATGAAAATGGATCCTTTGCCTTTGGTTTTATTCATTGCTGTATCCTCAGAACAAGTAAGACATTGATAAATATTTATCAATATATAAAAAGCATTTGGATTTGTTATAGAAGGACCCACAGTGTCATAATAAATACTTTAGCAGAGACATGGGGTAAAAAAGATTATGCTGCAGTCAGAAAAATTACTTCTTTAAAATGATTCAAGTAATATCAGTGCCTAATGAAACAGCTATGGATGTTAAACTTCCAGTTTGTCAGCTCTGTAAAACTATCAGGGGTCATTTACTAAGTATTTCTGTAAACTATAGATACAAGTTTAAATGAAAAAATGTGCTTTGTAAAGACTCCTTAAAAACAAGTTTGCATCCAGTGCCTAGTAGTCAGTTCAGCTTAGCCAGCATTTACTGAGTATTCATACCAGGTACCAGAAAAAGCGAAGAATTTCATCTTTGATGAAGGTGGAGACAGACTTACACTTTAAGAGTCAGAACAAACAAAAATAGAGTAATGTGCAAGGAAAAGAGAAACCAAAATTACCTTCCCACCCCAAAAAGTAAGTGAAGACTTTGAGTGGAGGTGATACTCAATCCAGATTTCAAGGGTTGAATAAGAATTTGTCAATAGCACAAAGAGGAGAGGGATATTGCAACCGAAGGAATGGGTTATGAAAAAGCACAAAGAAAGATGTGGTGGGAATTATTATATGTGCAGAATGCAATATATAAATATGTTCATCAATACATTGATAAACATATTTATAAAGAATTCTATATATCTTAAACATTCTTGGAATAAACAAAGAACTAGAACATGTTATCCCTGTTAAAAAAAAGGCAAGACTTAAAATCCCCTTCTGAAAAAAAAAGCAATAGCTTGATGTGGGATTTTTATGCTAGTAAATAATTCTATTTTTATTTATAAATATATAATGAGAAATCTCCAATTTTGAATATATGTGTAAAGAAAGTACAGAGAATAGTCTGTAATGGTTTTCAGGACATGTACAGTATGGTACTGTGGTGAAATGTTGCATTCTTTTCATTTAAAAGTACAATTAAGCTTAAATTTTAATATGTACACTATTGTGTACTTTTAAATAGAACTCAGAGGCCCTTAAAACTGCACACAATAGACTTTGGATATTACCTCAAAACTAGCTAGAGACATTCAGAAGGTTAGATAAGTGAGTAACATGATCATACATGTGTTTCAGAAAAAGCTTGCTAGTAGCTTCTAAAGGATGAATTAGAGTGGGGGAATGGGGACAAGAAGCAGAAAGATCAGTTATACCATGTCATAGTAGTCTGAACAAGAGATGACATGGGCCTGAATTAAGACATACAGGAGAAAAGTATCAAAAGAGTTGTTTTTTATTAGAGTTAGCAGAAAAAAAATGGAAAGAGTATGTTTTCAGTAAGGAAACATTGTGTATCACAATCAAGTACACATTTACAAAGTTATCCCCAAATGGTTCTTTATTACAACTAATGTATTCTGATATTTTCACATCAATTCTACTATACTGTATTTTTTTAAAAAAATTTTATTTATTTATTTAAAAGGCAGAGTTAAAGAGAGACAGGGAGAGACAGAGAGAGATTTTCCATCTGCTGGTTCACTCCCCAGATGGCCAGGGCTGAACTAGGCTAAAGCCAGGAGCCAGGAGCCAGGAGCTTCTCCTCAGTCTCATGTGGGTGGTAGGGGACCCAACAGTAGGTCATTCTCCATTGCTTTCCCAGGCCATTAGCAGGGAACTGGATTGGAAGTAGAGCACCTGAGACTTGAACCAGCACCCATATGGGATGCTGGCACTGCAGGTAGTGGCTTTCCTGCTATGTCACAACACCAGCCCCTATATTATATTCTTTTAAAGCTGGTTGCATTCTACTGAATTGACTCCCTGGCATAGCAGATGGGACGAGGGAAAGGAAGCTCAGATTTGGTCATTGTGTTGGAATGACAGAAGGACATTAGAGTGGAGAGCTAGAGTTGTGGGTAGCTAGATTTATGAATCTGGAGATCTAGAAATGAGGAAAGTGAGGAATAGGAAGCCTAGCGTGGTTGAGCTCAATCAGGTATGTACAAGAAGGAGGAGAGAAACAGTCTATTGGAGCATTCTGGGAAACAAGGATTCAAATTATTAATGGCATAAAGGGAGATCATGAAGGAAGAAGAGAAAGAGCTAAATAAGAAGTAGGGCAAACTAAGAGATAGTGGGAATTTAAAAGTCCAAAGAGAAGCATGCTTTGAGCAGGAGTAACACAGTCAAAAGCCAGAATGGTCACGCATGTTAAGTACTGAGATAACAATATGTTGGGAAATGGCAAGGAGACTTCAGTGTATGTAGATAATATTTCTATTAGTGATACTATAAGTAAAAGATAATGCAGTTCAATTGGGTAAATATTTACTGTTTAAACACTACAGAACTATGCAGGATGCTGACCTCTGCTCACAGTCTCATAAGCCTTCTCAAGATGACACTTCAGGTTGCCAGTGACAGTCAACAAGAGCTGGCACAGGGGCTTCTACAAAATCCCTGAACCTTCTGTTCACAAAGAACATAATAATAGATTATCATAAAAATGTATCTAGGAAAAGATTTTGGGAAATATTCAAGTCTAACTGAGAGGGTTAAATTGTGATTTCAGAGATGCAACATTAGGATGGGGTTGACCTATTCAATAAGCAGCAAGATTGCTAATATTCTGTCCTTAGGAAAAACATGTTTAATGAAAAATATGGAAGAAGGTTGGATTTGGGAATACTATTGAGGAATGGAAACCAACACTGAGAGTGAAAACCAAGAGTTTTGTCAAAGTCATGAGCCCTGTTTAATGATAGCTAGATAAGACAATGTGACTACAAGATCATACATTAATATAATTTATATGTGTTAGGGTCAGTTAGATTCTCATGTAATATCTATTTGGTAATTCTAGAGTTTGTAGTAGATAACTGTAAATAAAAAGAAAAAATTGTAAAGAGTTTGGGTTTTAGGTGCAAGACTACCTTCTGTACTCACGCTTCTTATCCTTATATATTTTTTCTTCCTAAGTCAGTTCTTCACATTTCACTTATATATCAAGAAACTCAATTTTCAAAACAAATGTCAAAATGTAATGGAGGGACTGAGGGGAGCCCATTTCAGCCAGAATTCCTTCTTCCATTCCTGTACTGCTCACATCACACCAGCTACACTGACTTTTGGAGAGAACTATTTAGAAGGAAGACATTGGATATTCATATATCAGAACAAGCCCTGTGTGCAGTTATTCCCAGAAAGGTGGGGAGGAAATAATGATCACAGAATAGTTCCATAGTGCTGGCCTACTCCAATATGGGGCCATATTCACTTGGGGTTCAGTTATGACTTCCAGCCATCAAGTTGAGTTTTCATCCCCCATGACTTTTTGATGAACTTGATAAGCATATGTAAGATTCTTAATCTCAAACTTTCTTTGACTGTATTGATTGCTTGTTTGTATTGATAAGTCTCATGTCCTCTGGTGAGGACTCTAATGCCTACTGAGATTGTGATTCCCTCAATTGCATATATATTGACTACAACAGACACTGTATGTATAAGCAATACATACATCAAAATCTCTATTTAATAATCCCTGTTAAATTGAATTGAATATAATTCAATATGCTCTTTGGAAATTGATTTTATATGATTTAGCATCTGAAATAGGATATAAAATGGTAAATTTAATATAATGTGAACCCAGCTCAGCAAACATATGCATTTAATAGCAAGAGAAAAGCCCATCTTTGGGGGGTAAGCTTGAATTTGCCTCTTTCTTTATGCCTGCTTATGAAAATTAAATATCTCCCACTGCAGTTATTCCTGAACTAGATTCCAAATGGGGAATTTGAGGGACTAGAGAATTGAGTAGATTATCTTTCTGCTCAGTCAGAAATAATTCCTTTAAAAGCAAGCCTAAATGCAATACAACACAAATACACAGAGAGAGAGAGAGAGATCATCCACATGCCAGATATTTGAATGTTTCTCCCCGACACTTCGAGATCTGATCCATCTACCAGAATTCCCAGGAGATAAGTGATGGGAGAAGTCTTGCTGAGTGAATTACCTGGTATAGGTTTTACAGATTCCTTTATTCACTCTGAACACCTTGTATTTATCCAAAAAGAACTTGAGCTTACCATTTTGCTATTAACTTGATCTTTTCTATAGAACTTGCCACACAAAGAGTAGCCTAAAAATTAGAAAATACAAAAATAATTCAAAGTGTTGCTTTTCCTGTTGTTGCTTATGGAACCTATATTGCTAATCCTGCCTTCACATTATCTTTTAAAGGACCCTCAAGATGCCATCCCCAGAGGAACTATGCTGGCCATTTTCATTACTACTGTTGCCTACATAGGTGTTGCTATTTGTGTAGGTAAGTAGTATGTTTCTGGTGGCAGAATGTCAGAATAGCAAGGAATCCAGTCGCTCTTCATATATAGTGGGCATTCAGTGAATAACAAATAGAACATTTTTTAAAGACAACATTTTTAATTCCCTTCTTGGTACCTTAATAGTTTGGATGCTTTAGGGATTTGAATGCAATTAAGCTATAATGCAAGTATCTCTCGTTCAGGGCTACACTAAAACTAATCAGAATGCTAATTCTGCTGGAATGCAAACAGGGTCCCATTTTGCTACCCTAGATGATAATCCCACTGGTAAGGTAGCTATCATTTCTAGAGCCCAACTTCTCTGTCCTAGGAGACAGGTGAATAACAGTCAGAAAAGAAGCAAAAATCTAAACCAAATTGAACTAGAAAACAAGACCAAGAAACAGCCTTAACAAGGTAGGAAAGATATAGAATTTATGACTGTATTTCATCCTTACATTGATGTTCCTCTTATGGAAATGTCACTGTCACTAACTGGCAGGAAATCAGAACAAGTTCCAGCTGCTGGCTGTGTGGGCAGCCAGCCCCCACACTGCTCAGTGAACAGAAAATATGTGTATTCTCCTGCTGTGCCTGAGGCTGACTTTGGTTCCACCTGTGGCCTATCTCATATTTACAGTAGGAGAGAAAGAAATCTGGTTTCCTTCTTTTCTGTGCACAATAGGGAATACAGCAATAGTAGACCACTATGGAAGCCTGGATGACCATTTTGACAAGGGTACATCCCAGTCATTTTTGCTTATTGTAAGGGGAATAGGGAAAGTACTTAGATTCTTACCTGTCTCACTGACTTCTTTTTTTTTTTGACAATACAAATTCTACTTTTTAATCTAGAAAAGAATTTTACTATGAAATAAAAGATTATTAATATATTCTAAGTCACAGATATAGGACTTTGAAGGTACTAAAAAAGAGACTTGTATTTTCTTATCTCAAATTATACCCATATAGGGCTTTTCTTAGACATATTAATTTTAAAAATTGACAATAGAAATAGCAAAATTAGTAAGTAAAAAGTTAATTTATTCTATACTAAGAGGAAACAAAGCAACATTTTGCTCTCATTTTTAATAAAATATCCTAAAATCATACACAAAGCAGTTTCCTTGCTTTGTATATGGTAACATAATTAATGTACACACTAACTCTTTTTATTTAATGAGTACAAATTTCATAATTACAACTTTAGAAATATAGTGATTCTTCCCATCATACTCACCCTCCTGCCCCCACTCCCACCCTACCACCTCCTTCATCTCCTATTCCCAGTCCCATTCTCTATTGAGGTTCATTTTTAATTAACTTTATACACAGAAGACCAACTCTATACTAAGTAAAGATTTCAACAACTTGCACACACACACACACACACACAGAGTTTGAGAACAAGTTTTACAGTTAGTTCTCATAATACAACTCATTGAGAATAGAGGTCCTGCATGGGAAGCAAGTGCACAATGACTCCTGTTGTTAATTTAATAATTAACACTCTTATGTATGATGTCAGTGGTAACCCAAGGCTCTTAACATGAACTTACAAGGCTACTGAAGCCCTTTGAACTCACAGTCTCCATCAACATTTAGATAAGGCCATAAGCAGCATGGAAGTTTTCTCCTCCCTTCAGATAAAAGTACATCCTTCTTTTATGGCCACTTTTTTCCACTTGGGTGTCACTCACAGAGATCCTTCATGTAGGACATTTTTTTGCCACAGTGTCTTACCTTTCCATGCTTGAAATGCTCTCGAGTGCTTTTCAGCCAGACCAGAATGCCTTATCGACTGATTCTGAGGTCAGGGTGCTATTCAGAGTGATTGTCATTCTATGAGTCTGCTATGTGGACTGCTTCTAATGTTGGAACATTCTCTAATTTTAATTCTATCTATTATTACCAGACACTTGATCATATTTATATGATCCCTTTATTGTAAGGGGAATAGGGAAAGTACTTAGATTCTTACCTTTCTCACTGACTTTTTTTTTTTTTGACAGTACAAATTCTACTTTTTAATCTAGAATTTTACTATGAAATAAAAGATTATTAATATGTTCTAAGTCCTATTATATATAATAATTGTAATTGTCCTATCTATATGATCACTTTAACACTTAATCTTATCACTTTAACGCTTAAGATGGCATTTTTACCTCCCAGCTTAATAGGACTTGAGGTCCCATGGTGTCGCTCCCCCTCTTCGTGGAGGAACGACACAGGACCCTGCGCTGTTCTTTTGTCTGCTCGGCCCTCCCCGGGTTTGCTGTTGGTTCTTCCCGGGTTGGCTACCGACCCTTCCACCTCCGTGGAAGGGCGGTTGCCCCTAGCCACTTTCCCCACTTCCGCGGGGGAGCGGCACACCGCCGGCCGGCTCTCTCGGAGGCTGCACAGGTGTTCCTTCAGATAGATGTTCCTCTTAAATGTTCCTGGTGCATGTTGTCTCTCTCCTCCTTTATAGTCCTCTTCCACCAATCCCAACTCTGCTACACACACGCCGAATACGCTGCTCTCCTCCAATCAGGAGCAGGTCCTACAGTTTATTGGTTGAACTGGAGGCAGCTGTGTAGAAGCTGTTACTCCCTTCTCAGCGCCATATTGTGGGAGAGCAGATGCATAGAATAAGTCTTAATTCCAGTAACAGTCTAGTCCGAGTTGCTCCCCACACCATGGCAAGTTTTTAAACTGTACCCTTAGAAGTAAGTCCATAGGAATGTATGAAGAACTATACAGCTTTACAGTTACAAACTTCTTCCTCTCTCTATTCCCACTCTTATTTTTTACTGAGATCTATTTTCAATTGACTTTATACACATATGGTTAAGTCTATGTTAAGTAAAGGGTTCAACAAATAGTATTAAGGAGGAAAAAAATACTGTTCCTCAACAGTTAAGATAACGGCTGTTCAAAGTCATTGCTTCTCAAAGTATCAATTTCACTTCTAAAGATTTCCTTTTAGGTGCGCATTAGTTATCACAGATCAGAGAGAACATGTGGTATTTTTCCCTTTGGGACTGGCTTATTTAACTATAATGTTTTCCAGATTGATCCATTTTGTTGCAAATGACAGGATTTCTTTTTTTTTTTTTTTTTTTTTTGACAGGCAGAGTGGACAGTGAGAGAGAGACAGAGAGAAAGGTCTTCCTTTTGCCGTTGGTTCACCCTCCAATGGCCGCCGCGGCTGGTGCGCTGCAGCCAGTGCACCACGCTGATCCGATGGCAGGAGCCAGGTACTTATCCTGGTCTCCCATGGGGTGCAGGGCACAAGGCCTTGGGCCATCCTCCACTGCACTCCCTGGCCACAGCAGAGAGCTGGCAACCGGGACAGAATCCGGTGCCCCGACCGGGACTAGAACCCAGTGTGCCAGCGCCGCAAGGCAGAGGATTAGCCTAGTGAGCCGCAGCGCCAGCCCTGGATTTTATTCTTTTTACTGCTGTGTAATATTCCATGGTATACATATCCCATAATTTCTTTATCTAGTCTTTAGTTGATGGACATTTAGGTTGATTCCAAATCTTAGCTATTGTGACTTGAGCTGCAATAAACATGGGGGTGCAGATAATTCTTTTATATGCTGATTTCATTTCCCTTGGGTAAATTCCCAGGAGTGGGATGGCTGGGTCATATGATATAGGTCTATATTCAGATTTCTGAGGTATCTCCAAACTGTTTCAATAGTGGTTTTTCCAGTTTACAGTCCCACCAACAGTGGATTAGGGTACCTTTTCCCCCATATCCTTGCCAGCAATTGTTGTTTGTTGATTTCTGAATGAGAGTCATTCTTTTTTTTTTTTTAGTTTTTTTTTTAACTTTTATTTAATGAATATAAATTTCCAAAGTACGATTTATGGATTACAATGGCTTCCCCCACATACCGTCCCTCCCACCCACTACCCTCCCCTTTCCCACTCCCTCTCCCCTTCCATTCACATCAAGATTCATTTTCGATTATCTTAATATACAGAAGATCAGCTTAGTATACATTAAGTAAGGATTTCAACAGTTTGCTCCCACACAGAAACATAAAGTGAAAAATAATAGATGATTTTTTTTAAATGATGATGAACTCAGATCAGACCTATTGTCATGTTTAATCCCAGTGAGAGTCAAGTTGGGAATTGATAATTTCTTTTTTTTTTTTACAGAGGATCAGTTTAGTATACATTAAGTAAAGATTTCAACAGTTTACACCCCCATAAAAACACAGAGTGAAATATATTGTTTGAGTACTCGTTATAGCATTAAATCTCAATACACAGCACATTAAGGACAGAGATCCTACATGAGGAATAAGTGCACAGTGACTCCTGTTGTTGACTTTACCAATTGACACTCCTGTCTATGGCATCAGTAGTCTCCCTATGCTCCGGTCATGAGTTTCCAAGGCTATGGAAGCCCTCTGAGTTCTCCGATTCTTATCTTGTTTAGACAAGGTCATAGTCAAAGTGGAGGTTCTCTCCTCCCTTCAGAGAAAGGTACCTCCTTCTTTGAAGACCTGTTCTTTCCACTGGGATCTCACTCTCAGAGATCTTTTGCCAGAGTGTCTTGGCTTTCCATGCCTGAAATACTCTCATGGGCTTTTCAGCCAGATCCGAATGACTTTAGGGCTGATTCTGAGGCCAGAGTGCTATTTAGGACATCTGCCATTCTATGAGTCTGCTGAGTATCTCACTTCCCATGTTGGATCACTCTCCCCTTTATTTATTCTATCGGTTAGTGTTAGCAGGTACTAGACTAGTTTATGTGCTCCCTTTGACTCTTAGTCCTTTCATTATGATCAATTGTGAACTGAAATTGATCACTTGGAATAGTGAGATGGCATTGGTACATGCCACCTTGATGGGATTGAATTGGAATCCCCTGGGATGTTTTTAACTCTACCATTTGGGGTAAGTCAGCTTGAGCATGTCCCAAATTATACATCTCTTCCCTCTTATTCCCACTCTTATGTTTAACAGGGATCACATTTCAGTTAATTTTTAACACTTA